CCCGTCTCAGCCCGACTCAGCCTGTCTCAGCGCTCTTCTCATCCCGTCTCAGCCCGCTTCTCAGCCGACTCAGCCCGTCTCAGCGCTCTTCTCATCCCGCTCTCAGCGCTTCTCAGCCCGACTTAGCCCATCTCAGTGCTTCTCAGCCCGTCTCAGCGCTTCTCAGCCCATCTCAGCTCTCTCTCTCCCCCGTCGCAGCGCTTTTCAACCGCCACAGCCTGCTCTCAGTGCTTCTCAGCCCTTTTCAGCCCATCTCAGCGCTTCTCAGCCCATCTCAGCCCGTCTCAGCTATCTTCTCAGCGCTCTTCTCAGCCCGTCTCAGCACTTCTCAGCTTGTCTCAGCGCTTCTCAGCGCTTTTCTTAGCCCCTCTCAGTCCATCTCAGAGCTTCTCAGCCCGTCACAGCTTTCTTCTCAGCCCTTCTCACCGTGTCACAGCGCTCGTCTCAGTCCGTCTCAGCACTTCTCAGCCCGTCTCAGCTCTTCTCTCAGCCCCGTCTCAGCAAGTCTCAGCACCTTCTCAGCCCTTCTCTCCGCGTCACAGCGCTCGTCTCAGTCCGTCTCAGCACTTCTCAGCCCGTCTCAGCTCTCTTCTCAGCCCCGTCTCAGCAAGTCTCAGCACTCTTCTCAGCCCTTCTCCGCATCACAGCGCTCGTTCTCAGCCCGTCTCAGCGCTCTTCTTAGCCCGTCTCAGCCCATCTCAGTCCATCTCAGTCCGTCTCAGCGCTCTTCTCAGTCCTTCTCACCATGTCACAGAGCTCGTCTCAGCCCGTCTCAGCACTTCTCAGCCCGTCCCAGCACCCGTCTCAGCCCATCTCGGCGCTCTTCTTAGCCCTTCTCACCGCATCACAGCGCTCGTTCTCAGCCCGTCTCAGCGCTCTTCTTAGCCCGTCTCAATCCGTCTCGGCACTCTTCTTAGCCCGTCTCAGCCCACCTCAGCTCTCTTCTCAGCCCGTCTCACCGCGTTACAGCGCCCGTCTCAGCCCATCTCAGTCCATCTCAGCCCGTCTCAATGCTCTTCTCAGCCCGTCAACACCGCGTCACAGCGCTCGTCTCAGCCCGCCTCAGCTCTCTTCTCAGCCCGTCTCAGCCCATCTCAGTCCATCTCAGCCCGTCTCAATGCTCTTCTCAGCCCATCAACACCGCGTCACAGCGCTCGTGTCAGCCCGTCTCAGCACTCTTCTCAGCCCTTCTCACTGCGTCACAGCGCCCGTCTCAGCCCGTCTCAGTCCATCTCAGCCCGTCTCAATGTTCTTCTTAGCCCTTCTCACCGCATCACAGCGCCCGTCTCAGCCCGTCTCAATGCTCTTCTTAGACCGTCTCAGCCCATCTCAGTGCTCTTCTCAGCCCGTCTCAGCGCTTCTTAGCGCGTCTCAGCTCGTCTCGCTTCACGATCAGGACTTTATGTTGGACGTCACATGACCGTAAACAGTGCAGCGGGATTTATTATGCACACGTCTTCAAAACAAGCGTAGACATTTATTTATTTGTTTGTTTATTTATAATTATTCCTTTATTGTTTATCAATAATTTAATACATTTATTATACTTTTTAAAATTGTATTTATTTAATGCATTTATTCTATTTCTATAACTTTAATTATTTATCTGTTATTAAAATGTATATTTTTATACATACATATATATGTATATAATATCCATTAATATTATCAAATAAATAATAATATTGATAAGAAAAAATATTATTTTTAGATTTTCATTCATTTTAATTATTTGTACATTTAATTTAGAATTAATTTAATGCATTATTAATAGTTAATTTAATATATAATTTAATTTATATTTTATTTAATATAATTTAAATTTAAATTTTTTAGTATATTTCTTTTTCTGTAACTTTTATTATTTATTTTAATTGTAATTAATACTTTAATGCATTATGTATCTCTTAAGTTAATATTAGTAAAAAATACATTTTAAATTGGTTTATTTAATAAATAAATAATTTATGTAATACTAATACTTAATTTGGATTTTAACTCATGTATGCATTGTCTTTTTTTCTATTTTGCAAAATTATAATTATATTTATTATAACTTTAATGCATTTCTGTTTTTCTATTTTTTCTATTTTCATTATTTTTATTCATACCTTTTTTATAATTATTTTAATTATAATTTCAGATTATTTATGATATTTTGATCTATATTGTATTTCCACAAACACACAGAGTTCAGTACAGATCGTGTCCATCTTCATCTTTATTATTTGTGAGGTTGAGGTTAATTTGACAGCGTTCGTGACCTTTGACCTTAACAACTCAATCGATGTCGTGTGAGGCACGCCGCTGCTCTGCTGATGTCCACGAAGCGATGTTAATGTTCATCATCTTACCAGTTTTATTTGCATTTCTCTTTTTTTTCTGGTTTATTTGAAATTCATTTTTCTCCTTCATTGTGATTTGAGTCCCATAACACCCGAACGCCCTCGACTGATCAGAGCTCGTTCTCTTTGGTGTACTGTTGCTTATACCCTGTCTCGTTTCTCTCTCTCTCTCTCTCTCTCTCTCTCTCTCTCTCTCTCTCTCTCTCTCTCTCTTCTCACGTTTACCTCTAATGTATCTGCTTAAAAAGTCCCCATTACTGGTAAGTTCATGAGCGTGACAGAGCTTGTGTGTTTCTCCCTTAGCTGCATGGACGTAGACACGCGTTATAGCGTCACCCGTCCTCCCCATGTGTGTGTGTGTGTGTGTGTGTGTTTTCGCCATCGTGCTTCTGCTTTCTTTGCTTTGGGTTGTTGTGATTCGCCCATGTGGCTTTTGATCATCCGTCATCACTCATTCCACTCATGCTTTGCTGTTGATTGACAGCACCCATGCACTGCCATGGACTAATGAACCTCAGCAGATCTCAGATCAGGGCCGAGCAGGGACACAGGCCGATTTTAGCCGTGTTTCAGTGAAATTATAGAGGAACGATGCACGTGATATTTCACGAACGAATGGACGAACGGGGCAGTCAATCGATCCCTCCCTCCACATCCACTCATCCACCCCTTCCTGCAACGTCGTGTCATGATCCATCCATTGCCAATGAATGGGAAATCGATCAAGCGCTTTCTTTTACACTGACTGAGAGCATGGAAAAGAGAGATGATTAAGGCAAGACGCTACAAACAAAAACACTGCTTTTGTGCATATAAAGAAAACATCCAAAATACTTTATCTTGCAAGTAAAGAGCAAGTATAGAGTCTTTAGACTCTATATCAAATAAATGCATGAGGCCTTTTTGTATGCAATATCACTATCCTTCCACGAAATGCGAAATACCTCTAGTTTTGAAATCCAAAATCTCTTTTGGAAAAACTAATAAAATGTCAACAAAATCAAACATGAAAATTGCTTTATCCACTGCTCAGAATTATGTTCTGGAAATGTACATATTTAATTAGGTATTACCCTCATTTGCATATTCAAAATGACATTTCAGAAAACATGTAATCTGCAATTATTAAAGTCATTAATCAGCTGTGGAAGTAGGGTGATATCTATTGGGTAAAATTTTGATTAATTAATTACTTATATTACATATTCACCTGAGGTCCTGCCTTAATTATTCAAAATGTGAGTTTTGTCATTATTCGCTCTCATGTTGTTCCAACCCTGTAAGCTGTTGTTTTTCTCTTACATTTCTGCATTTTCAGTGAATAATTGCTTAAATTTCAGTCTTTTTCAGTATTTATTTTTTGTTCAAATATAGTTAGCTAAAACTAAAACCATAAAACAAACATTAACTGAAAAAATAAAGTATAAAAAAACGTTATTATATATTTTTTTGCAATTGTATAACTTAATATAATAAAAAATAATAAATAATATTATTTATATATATTATAAAATGCATAAAACTGTATAGATATGACATAAAATGAAAAAAATAAACTTAAAACAAATTTTTTTTGGAACATATAAAAAACAAAATAAAAATCTCAATGATATTAAAAGAACGCTGGTTGGAATGAACTAAGATTAACAAAGATTAATAAATGCATTAGAAGTATTTGGTTCATGTTAATGTAAAGTCTCCAGAATCACAGTGTGCAGGTTTGGAATAAACGATGCATTTTCATTGTTTTCCGAATTATTTCTTTATTTGAAGACTACTCGTTTAAGTTTATTAGGACATGTGTGTGTAAGAGGAAGTGTGAGCGAGTGTGTTCTCAGCTCTTCAGCATGTGTGTGTGTGTGTTTTCTGTCTTGTGTTGCAGACGAGACTCAAACCCTGACCAGCGACACCAGCAGCCTGGTGCAGTCGCACACACACACACACTCGTCGCACACACACTCTCTGCGCAAGCGTGAGGCCGTGGACGTGCCGTATCAAACGGCTCAGCTTCATCCCGCCATCCGTGTGGCCGATCTCCTGCAACACATCACACAGATGAAGTGTGCCGAGGGCTACGGCTTCAAGGAGGAGTACGAGGTGAGACGGCTATCCCAGCATGCACTGCAGCACACACACACACTCACGCACGTGTGCGATTCTACACTGATGTGAGACCTCAGCTATCCCAGCATGCACTGCTGCACACACACACAAGCGCTTTTACACTGATGTGAGAACTCTGCTATCCCAGCATGCACTGCGAAACACACACTCACACACACACTCAAGCGCACGCTTTTACACTGATCTCAGCTATCCAAGCATGCTCTCAGCATGAGTGAGTGTGAGTCAGTGAGTGAGTGAGTCAGTGAGTGAGTTAGTCAGTAAGTGAATGAGTCAGTGAGTGAGTGAATCAGACAGTGAGTGAATGAGTCAGACAGTGAGTGAGTGAGTGAGTCAGACAGTGAGTGAGTCAGACAGTGAGTGGGTCAGTGAGTGAGTGAGTGAGTCAGACAGTGAGTGAGTGAGTGAGTCAGTCAGTCAGTCAGTGAGTGAGTTAGTCAATGAGTGAGTGAGTCAGACAGTGAGTGAGTGAGTCAGTCAGTGAGTGAGTGAGCCAGACAGTGAGTGAGTCAGTGAGTGAGTGAGTCAATTAGTTGGTGAGTGAGTTAGTCAGTGAGTGAGTCAGACAGTGAGTGAGTCAGTGAGTCAGACAGTGAGTTAGTGAGTGAGTCAGTCAGTGAGTGAGTGAGTCAGACAGTGAGTGAGTCAATTAGTTAGTGAGTGAGTTAGTCAGTGAGTGAGTCAGACAGTGAGTGAGTCAGTGAGTGAGTCAGACAGTGAGTGAGTAAGTCAGACAGTGAGTGAGTGAGTGAGTCAGTCAGTCAGTCAGTCAGTGAGTGAGTGAGTTAGTCAATGAGTGAGTGAGTCAGACAGTGAGTGAGTCAGTGAGTGAGTGAGTGAGTCAATTAGTTAGTGAGTGAGTTAGTCAGTGAGTGAGTCAGACAGTGAGTGAGTCAGTGAGTCATACAGTGAGTTAGTGAGTGAGTCAGTCAGTGAGTGAGTGAGTCAGACAGTGAGTGAGTCAATTAGTTAGTGAGTGAGTTAGTCAGTGAGTGAGTCAGACAGTGAGTTAGTCAGTGAGTGAGTCAGACAGTGAGTGAGTCAGTGAGTGAGTCAGTCAGTCAGTGAGTGAGTCAGACAGTGAGTGAGTGAGTCAGACAGTGAGTGAGTGAGTCAGACAGTGAGTGAGTGAGTAAGTCAGTGAGTGAGTCAGACAGTGAGTGAGTCAGTGAGTGAGTCAGACAGTGAGTGAGTAAGTCAGACAGTGAGTGAGTGAGTGAGTCAGTCAGTCAGTCAGTCAGTGAGTGAGTGAGTTAGTCAATGAGTGAGTGAGTCAGACAGTGAGTGAGTCAGTGAGTGAGTGAGTCAATTAGTTGGTGAGTGAGTTAGTCAGTGAGTGAGTCAGACAGTGAGTGAGTCAGTGAGTCAGACAGTGAGTTAGTGAGTGAGTCAGTCAGTGAGTGAGTGAGTCAGACAGTGAGTGAGTCAATTAGTTAGTGAGTGAGTTAGTCAGTGAGTGAGTCAGACAGTGAGTGAGTCAGTGAGTGAGTCAGACAGTGAGTGAGTAAGTCAGACAGTGAGTGAGTGAGTGAGTCAGTCAGTCAGTCAGTCAGTGAGTGAGTGAGTTAGTCAATGAGTGAGTGAGTCAGACAGTGAGTGAGTCAGTGAGTGAGTGAGTGAGTCAATTAGTTAGTGAGTGAGTTAGTCAGTGAGTGAGTCAGACAGTGAGTGAGTCAGTGAGTCATACAGTGAGTTAGTGAGTGAGTCAGTCAGTGAGTGAGTGAGTCAGACAGTGAGTGAGTCAATTAGTTAGTGAGTGAGTTAGTCAGTGAGTGAGTCAGACAGTGAGTTAGTCAGTGAGTGAGTCAGACAGTGAGTGAGTCAGTGAGTGAGTCAGTCAGTCAGTGAGTGAGTCAGACAGTGAGTGAGTGAGTCAGACAGTGAGTGAGTGAGTCAGACAGTGAGTGAGTGAGTAAGTCAGTGAGTGAGTCAGACAGTGAGTGAGTCAGTGAGTGAGTCAGACAGTGAGTGAGTAAGTCAGACAGTGAGTGAGTGAGTGAGTCAGTCAGTCAGTCAGTCAGTGAGTGAGTGAGTTAGTCAATGAGTGAGTGAGTCAGACAGTGAGTGAGTCAGTGAGTGAGTGAGTGAGTCAATTAGTTAGTGAGTGAGTTAGTCAGTGAGTGAGTCAGACAGTGAGTGAGTCAGTGAGTCATACAGTGAGTTAGTGAGTGAGTCAGTCAGTGAGTGAGTAAGTCAGACAGTGAGTGAGTCAATTAGTTAGTGAGTGAGTTAGTCAGTGAGTGAGTCAGACAGTGAGTTAGTCAGTGAGTGAGTCAGACAGTGAGTGAGTCAGTGAGTGAGTCAGTCAGTCAGTGAGTGAGTCAGACAGTGAGTGAGTGAGTCAGACAGTGAGTGAGTGAGTCAGACAGTGAGTGAGTGAGTAAGTCAGTGAGTGAGTCAGACAGTGAGTGAGTCAGTGAGTGAGTCAGACAGTGAGTGAGTAAGTCAGACAGTGAGTGAGTGAGTGAGTGAGTCAGTCAGTCAGTCAGTGAGTGAGTGAGTTAGTCAATGAGTGAGTGAGTCAGACAGTGAGTGAGTCAGTGAGTGAGTGAGTGAGTGAGTCAATTAGTTAGTGAGTGAGTTAGTCAGTGAGTGAGTCAGACAGTGAGTGAGTCAGTGAGTCAGACAGTGAGTTAGTGAGTGAGTCAGTCAGTGAGTGAGTGAGTCAGACAGTGAGTGAGTCAATTAGTTAGTGAGTGAGTTAGTCAGTGAGTGAGTCAGACAGTGAGTGAGTCAGTGAGTGAGTCAGTCAGTCAGTGAGTGAGTCAGACAGTGAGTGAGTGAGTAAGTCAGACAGTGAGTGAGTGAGTCAGACAGTCAGTGAGTGAGTGAGTAAGTGAGGGAGAGTGAGTGAGTCAGTCAGTGTTTGTGTGTGTGTGTGTGTGTGTGTGTGTGTGTGTGTGTGTATTGTGCAGACGAAGTTCTGTCTATGTTGACTTACACACTGTGTCTCTCTCTTCTGGTTCTGTTGTTCTCTTTGGAGCAGATCAATGAGGTAAGACTTTGTTTGGTTCCTTCTAACTGAGAGACCCTGATGATGATGATGATGATGATGATGATGATGATGATGATGATGATGATGTGGTGATGATGATGATGTGATGATGATGTAGACTGTGATTAGTTTGAAGGCATTTGATGGTGTTCGGACATCATGACTGTCAAATGCTTTCTATCCACCACTTCTGTTTCTTTCCTGTGTTTGATCATCCTCTCACGACCGTAAATCAAATAATAACTTATTTTAGACACTCCTGGTTTCTATCAAGTAAGTTTCCGGACTCCAGATGTTTTAAGAGCTGGATGTTTCTCACTCTTTATAAACAATAAATCTGCAGCTGTAAATTATTTACTGGATATGGATTCAGGATCAGGATATAAAAGTATAAAAACATTTACTCAGAAATTTCTGCAAAATAAACAAAATATTTTAGCACTTGGCATAACTTGAAAAATGGATATTCATTGTAAAGAATATATTAATTCACTGACTTTTCCCTTCACATAAGGGATGAATTAAAATAAGAAATATTGATTCTTAGTTGATTATCTTATATACGTAATATAAACGTAATATAAATATATTACAAATTAAGCTTTAAATAGATGTTTTATTTTTTATGTATTTATATTTTTCATCTGGGAAAACTTATAAATAAATATAACTATTGTATTACTACATACATTTATGTTATAAATTAATGTATTTTTTACATATTTTTATTTTATTTATTTATTTAAACGAGTAGTAGCTCCTTTTTTTTGTTGTTCTTGTGAACTCCATCAACAAGTTTTCACACTCCAGATCACCACATACTCCTTTATGAATTGGTTTATAGAGTTGTTTATTAGTTCTATATAATTGTTTAATAGATGTAGAATTCTCAAATAATTTTTTGGGCAATCCAGAAGTCGAATGAATGAAATGAAATGAAAAGATGATATATAGCTTCTAAAATGCCAATCATGCAAATGAAGTCCATTTGATATAAGATATCGTTAGTGAAGTTTTCCAGCATGAATTAATGATGGGAAAGCAGATTAATTATTCGTTTCTGAGGAGTCACATGGTCAAAGGAAGCTGTCGTCATTAATCTGGTTGAGTTCATGTCAAAACACTCCAATAAATGAATAACAGTTTGACTCCGAAGGGAGAGAACAGAGAAACTCGTCTAATTAGAAGATATTTCTACTGTGCTGAGTTGAAAAAAGTTCATAGAGAAAGAAAAAACAACTGGTTTAATCGATTATTCTAGACATTTCCTCTCAAATAGATCAGTAGAGCACAATATGATCACATAGATTGACATAAAAACCTTTTGTTTCTGCTTAATTATAAATTAGAAGAACTGAACAGAAAGTATTACGTATTTTTTCTGAAAAATATCACAATTGAGTGAGTTTTTGCTGAAAAGAACACAAATCACAGCCAATCAGAAGAGCGTGTGGGCGGAGTCTCTCTGCAAGCACATCGCACTCACAACCAATCAATCATAAATCATGGCCAATCAGAAGAGTGTGTGGGCGGAGTCTCTCTGAAAGCGCTCTATACTCACAACAACCAATTGGATAAGTGTATAATCAAATTCTAAAATATTACACAATTATAATATTATTAAAAATTCATAATCTGATTGAAATAATCTTAAATATCTTAATCTTAATATTTGTTCACTCTTGTTTCCTTTAATTATTTTCAAGATGTGAGAATAATAATCGATCGTCGGCTGTTCAAGTCACACAAAATGATATTCAAAGTGACAATGGAAGCTTTTAACATTTAATACACACGTTTAGATGAGATGATCGTTGTCAAACTGTGTGTGTTGTCACAACTGGTTAAAACACTTCAGTAAACGTCTCTATCATAATGTAATCAGAAATGAATGTGTGTGTGTGTGTGTGTGACGAGCAGGTTCCTCGTGACGTCTCAGTCTTGTTTTTCATTTTTTTTATATATATATATATATATTTCTTAAGAAGCTGAAGATTAAGCATCAAACAGACTGTAATGAGGTTTATGGTTAAATAATAACTGTGCATTTTCAATTATTCTTAATTTAAGAATGTTTAGATCTTTTTAAATGGAAAACAAGACGTAATAATGCAGTGAGTGTTTTTCCGTGATCTTATTTTGTGTAGATAATGACGGCCAGCGTTTCTCCGCAGGGATTGGGCTTTTGAAACTCTCAGATGAGACGGCGTGTGTGTGTGTGTGTGTGTGTCTCGTCCCCTAGCGTGGAAACATCCACAGTTGAAGGACACACACACGAGAGGAATACTCTCAGGGGACGGCGTCTGATCCCCAGTGTGTGACGTCGACCCTCGTCCCGATCCCTGAAATAATGATCCGGACTCACGCATTTCCCTTCCAGAACTGAAGCAGATCTTGAGCTTCATTAAAGTACAGGACTCTGATGTCTCTCTCTCTCTCTCTCTCTTTAGAGCTTCTTCGAGGGTCAGTCTGCGCCCTGGGATTCGGCCAAGAAGGACGAGAACCGCATGAAGAACCGTTACGGAAACATCATTGCATGTGTGTATTATCAGTCCTGAAACACGATCGAGTGACGGATGAATTTGTGTCAAAATACTTCAAAATATGTGCGTTTGTGGATGAGTGTACAACATTTCTACAGATCAGATAATAACACACACTTTATCTTGACACACACACACAGACGGGGTGCCGGATGCTGGTTTGTGCGTGTGTACGAGAGGATGATTGTGCGACACTGTGACATTTCTACAGATCAGATAAAGACACACACCTTATCTTTACACGAGTGTTATCAGCATCAGATTAAGAGGATCTCACACGATATGTGTGTGTGTGAGACACTGACGACTGTGTGTGTGTGTGTGTGTGTGAGACACTGACGACTGTGTGTGTGTGTGTGAGACACTGACGACTGTGTGTGTGTGTGTGTTTCTAGATGATCACTCGCGTGTGCGGCTGCAGAATGTGGACGGGGAGCAGAACTCTGATTACATTAATGCAAATTACGTTGATGTGAGTATAGAAGCAGCCGTGACCTTCTCACAAAGGTCACCGCACACACACACACACACACACACACACACACACACACACACACATAGATCAAGCCACACTCACTCACACACACAAAAACACACACACACGTGTGTTAATGAGTGAGTGAGTGAGCGAGTGAGTGAGTGTGTGTGAGTGAGTGTGTGTGAGTGAGTGTGTGTGAGTGAGTGTGTGTGAGTGAGTGAGTGAGCGAGCGAGTGAGGGAGTGAGCGAGCGAGTGAGTGAGTGAGTGAGTGAGTCAGCGAGCGAGTGAGCGAGTGAGTGAGGGAGTGAGCGAGCGAGTGAGTGTGTGTGAGTGAGCGAGTGAGTGAGCGAGTGAGTGAGGGAGTGAGCGAGCGAGTGAGTGAGCGAGTGAGTGTGTGAGCGAGTGAGCGAGTGAGTGAGCGAGTGAGTGAGTGAGTGAGTGAGGGAGCGAGCGAGGGAGTGAGCGAGCGAGTGAGTGAGCGAGCGAGGGAGTGAGCGAGCGAGTAAGTGAGTGAGCGAGTGAGTGAGTGAGTGAGTGAGTGAGCGAGCGAGTGAGTGAGTGAGTGAGCGAGCGAGTGAGTGAGCGAGCGAGTGAGTGAGCGAGGGAGTGAGCGAGCGAGTAAGTGAGTGAGTGAGTGAGTGAGGGAGTGAGCGAGCGAGTGAGTGAGCGAGCGAGTGAGTGTGTGTGAGTGAGCGAGTGAGTGAGTGAGTGAGTGAGGGAGTGAGTGAGTGAGTGAGGGAGTGAGCGAGCGAGTGAGGGAGTGAGCGAGCGAGTGAGTAAGTGAGTGAGTGAGTGAGTGAGGGAGTGAGCGAGCGAGTGAGTGTGTGTGAGTGAGCGAGTGAGGGAGTGAGTGAGTGAGGGAGTGAGTGAGTGAGTGAGGGAGTGAGCGAGCGAGTGAGGGAGTGAGCGAGCGAGTGAGCGAGCGAGGGAGTGACCGAGCGAGTGAGTGAGCGAGCGAGGGAGTGAGCGAGCGAGTAAGTGAGTGTGAGTGAGTGAGTGAGTGAGTGAGTGAGTGAGTGAGTGAGTGAGTGAGTGAGTGAGGGAGTGAGCGAGCGAGTGAGGGAGTGTGTGTGTGAGTGAGCGAGTGAGTGAGTGAGTGAGTGAGGGAGTGAGTGAGTGAGTGAGGGAGTGAGCGAGCGAGTGAGGGAGTGAGTGAGCGAGCGAGTAAGTGAGTGAGTGAGTGAGTGAGGGAGTGAGCGAGCGAGTGAGTGAGCGAGCGAGTGAGTGTGTGTGAGTGAGCGAGTGAGGGAGTGAGTGAGTGAGGGAGTGAGTGAGTGAGTGAGGGAGTGAGCGAGCGAGTGAGGGAGTGAGCGAGCGAGTGAGCGAGCGAGGGAGTGACCGAGTGAGTGAGTGAGCGAGCGAGGGAGTGAGCGAGCGAGTAAGTGAGTGAGTGAGTGAGTGAGTGAGCGAGTGAGTGAGCGAGCGAGTGAGTGTGTGTGAGTGAGCGAGTGAGGGAGTGAGTGAGTGAGTGAGGGAGTGAGTGAGTGAGTGAGGGAGTGAGCGAGCGAGTGAGGGAGTGAGCGAGCGAGTGAGCGAGCGAGGGAGTGACCGAGCGAGTGAGTGAGCGAGCGAGGGAGTGAGCGAGCGAGTAAGTGAGTGAGTGAGTGAGTGAGTGAGTGAGCGAGTGAGTGAGTGAGTGAGTGAGTGAGTGAGTGAGTGAGCGAGCGAGGGAGTGAGCGAGCGTGTGAGTGAGTGAGGGAGTGAGTGAGTGAGTGAGTGAGTGAGGGAGTGAGCGAGCGAGCGAGTGAGCGAGCGAGTAAGTGTGTGTGAGTGAGCGAGTGAGTGAGGGAGTGAGTGAGTGAGTGAGTGAGTGAGTGATTGTGTGTGTGAGTGAGTGAGTGAGTGTTTGTGTATGTGTGTGTGTGTGTGTGTGTGTGTGTAAATGAGCTCTCATGTGATTGGTTGCACTCTTTGTGTGTAATGGTTTTGCTTTCAATTCTAAAGAGCAGAAGATCTTGTGTGATGTTTGTTTTCTCTCACACACACACACACACACACACTGCACTGCTTAAATGATCTAATGTTCTGGGCAAAACATGTACTCTTGCTTATTGGTGATGCCAGACGTGTTGGAGAGCAACAGCTTCAGTTGTCTCTGTCCGAGATCAGCCGCTGGTGTGTGTGTGTTTGTGTGTGTGTGTGACAGTACTGGGATAGAAGCGTCTCCTCACTTCCACACACCGGGATGATGAATATTGAATAAACGTTACTGACATCATGTTAATGAGTTGCATTGATGCTCAGACAGGAAGTGTTGTGAATCTTACATGTCGTCATGTGATTCTCTGTTTCAGGGTTATCACAGGCCGAACCACTACATCGCTACACAAGGTAAGAGCCAAGTGTGTGTGTGTGTGTGTGATGGGTAGGGTTAGTGTAGAGGAGGGAATATACAGTTTGTACAGTATAAAAACCATTATGACCATGGATTTTCCTTATAATATTGCAAAACAAACGTGTGTGTGTGTGTGTGTGTGTGTGTGTGTGTGTGTGTGTGTGTGTGTGGTGGCAGATGCACAGAGTCCACTGGGTCTTATTTGGTTAGATTGAGTGTGTGCCCTTCACGTCTCCTGAGCGATTAATCAGGTCTGGCTGAGGTGGGCGGCACACGAGTGGCATGTTGAATAAATGGATTAACAGAAGTGTGTTTGTCACTTGTCTAATCTGGCCTGCCGTGAGCGTGTGTGTGTGTGTGTGTGAGGCGTCTCTGATGCCATCTCAATCTGCTGGTGTGGTGTGGGGATTTGCATAATTACCTGTTTATTAGAGCATTGCATGCTGCTCTCCTCTGTGTCTCAATTAAAACACACACACACACACACACACACACACACAGGCCAAGCGTGTTTCTCTGCATACTAACACACTCTCCTCAAATGTCTGTATATTTGTTTAGATATGCAATTAAATCTATATTATATGGAATCTTGTTTTTGCCACAGAATAAAAGATTTAAACAGAGATCTGCGAGTTATAAAATCCAATTCTAAAGAAAAAAGACTGACTTTATATCACGCAATTCTGAGAGAAAAAAATCTGAATTCACTTTTTTATTTGTTATTCTGTGGCGGAGACAAGCTTCCATAATATTAAAATCCAAAAGTGTCAGATTTTCCTCCGCAAGCCTGCATTTATTTATTTATTATTACAGTAAAACAGTGAAATATTATTATAAATCATCTGTTTTCTATGTGAATATACAGTAAAGTGTAATTTATTCCTGTGATGTTCAGCATCATTACTCCAGTCTTCAGAGTCACATGATCCTCCAGAAATCACTCTAATATGAGGATCTGATGATCAGTTATGATTATTATCAGTGTTGGACACAGTTTGTATTTTTGTGGAAACTGATACATTGTATTTTTCAGGATTCCTTGATGAATAGAAAGTTTAAAAGAACAGGATTTATTTTAAATAGATAAATGTCTTTAATGTCACTGTTTTCTTACTCCGAGTGTTTGAACGTTAATGCCTGATTTACAGTAAATGCTTCTACATGTTTTCCACACTGATAATAATCATAAATGTGTCTTGAGCTTCAGTCGTGGAAACACACACACACACGATCCGCTGATCTGCATGAGTCGTTAGTGTCGCAGGTGTGTGTGTGTGTGTGTGTGTGTGTACAGTGACGGCTTTAACGACGGCTGGACGGATTGAGTGGACAGGACCTGACCTTCAGGCCGATGTATAATTCATAATTCCTCGTGTTCACCGTGAGCTGGACTCCAGAGACACACTCAGTGAACGGCGGATCAGAACCGGCGCCGAGTCTCGGGTCGAGTGTGTGAGAGCGCTTCAGAGAGAATAATGTATGAGCGCTGTCACTGTCCAGAGATCTGACCGATAAAACACCGGCGCTTTCCTCAGCGAGAACACACACACACACACTCCTGCACAGACACCGGAGTAACACACACACACCTGAGTAACACACACCTGAGTAACACACACTGTCACTGTCCAGAGATCTGACCGATAAAACACCGGCGCTTTCCTCAGCGAGAACACACACACACTCCTGCACAGACACCAGAGTAACACACACACACCTGAGTAACACACACACACCTGAGTAACACACGAGTAACACACACCAGAGTAACACACACACCGGAGTAACACACACACACACACACACACACACACACACTCCTGCACAGACACCAGAGTAACACACACACACCTGAGTAACACACACCTGAGTAACACACACCTGAGTAACACACACCAGAGTAACACACACACCTGAGTAACACACACACCGGAGTAACACACACCTGAGTAACACACACCTGAGTAACACACACCAGAGTAACACACACACCGGAGTAACACACACCTGAGTAACACACACCTGAGTAACACACACCTGAGTAACACACACCTGAGTAACACACACCGGAGTAACACACACCTGAGTAACACACACCTGAGTAACACACACCGGAGTAACACACACCTGAGTAACACACACCAGAGTAACACACACCGGAGTAACACACACCTGAGTAACACACACCGGAGTAACACACACTGGAGTAACACACACTGGAGTAACACACACCTGAGTAACACACACCGGAGTAACACACACCTGAGTAACACACACCGGAGTAACACACACACTGGAGTAACACACACCTGAGTAACACACACCGGAGTAACACACACTGGAGTAACACACACCAGAGTAACACACACACCAGAGTAACACACACCAGAGTAACACACACCTGAGTAACACACACCTGAGTAACACACACCTGAGTAACACACACCAGAGTAACACACACACCAGAGTAACACACACCTGAGTAACACACACCAGAGTAACACACACCAGAGTAACACACACCTGAGTAACACACACACCGGAGTAACACACACCGGAGTAACA